GAGCGTGGACGACCCCGCGTTAGAACCTTGAGATAGCTGACTTCTACGTTCATTACCTAAGTTGTTGTTAGGCCGGCAGCCGTCTTAGTCGCCATGGTCGACCCAGTAGTCGAAGCAGGCGTAGAAGATACCCTGCAGGCGAGAGATGCTGGTGTTCGGGCACGCCACGAGGCTGGCGGGTGCGGTGAGGCGGACTTGGAGATTCTGCTCCTTGGAACTCGTGAGCATCCCCCTCCCCGTGCAGAAGCGGACGGTGCGTCCGCCTCTCCCCGAACCGTGCACAACGAAGGTGATGGCGGAAATGTTGTCGGCGGTGGAAGAACGAGGGTTCGCGGAGTGATTCGGACCGCCGACGTCGGCGTTGGCGGAGTGCATGCGCAAGTGCTGCGATCGTCTGCGACTGGAGGCAGCTCGAACGGCAACGTCGATGGTCGACGTCTATCTCCTCTGCGGAGTGGAGTCAGGCCGACTTCGGCGACTCAGATGTCGTCTGGTCGAGATGGAGGCATCGCGCCGGCGTACGGATATTTTAAATTCTCGCCGGACAAGATCGTTGTGGCGAAGCCGCTCGAAGGTCGCCATGACTTGATCACGTGGACGGAGTCAGTCGAGCCCCAGCTAGAGATCGCTGGATTGAAGAAGTTTATCGACGGCAACGTGCTGGCGCCGGACGAAGAGGACGTCGAGCTCTGGTCGGAATTTCGCGCTGCTAACCTCCTAACCTTCATGGTCATTTCGAGGTGCTGCTCGCCTCTGGTGCAAGTCGTATTGAAGCCGTGCAGACTTCGGGTGGATGCTGGCTACCAAGCGTGGCAGTACATCATGCGCACTTACAAGGCGACCGACGACCTCTACATCGGTCAACTGGAGCAGCGATTGACCAACATTCGGATGGGCGAGCAGGAGTCGGCGACCGAATACTGCAATCAAGCTCGGCGAATTTTGGCCGAACTACAGATGGCCGGTGTCGACTACTTGGTGGCGTCGTATGTCACGCACGTCATCAAGGGTCTACCGACGGGCTACAATTTGATGCGTCGGATGCTGGCGATGCCCGGCGCGCGCGAGTCGCTCAACGAGGACACTCTGTCGAGCCAGATCATCAACGACGAGTTCATGCAGGAGTCAGAGAGGCCTACGGAACTGCTTCTACAGGCCAACTACGTCGCCCTGGCAAAGCAGGGACGCCAACAGGGGCAGCGTGGGCAGTCTGGCGGAGGCGGTGGCTGGAAGTCGTTGAACACGAAGTCGACGGAGGGTGCAGACCGCGGGAAGTCGGCGAAGGGAGGTGATCGCGGTGGCGGTGGCTCGCGTCGAGAAGGACGTCGCTGCTACATCTGCGATGCGCCCGACCACCTCTCGTATGACTGCCTCGATCGCAAGAAATCTGACGTCGACGACCACAACGGAAGCCGCGGGAAGTCTGACGACGGTCGTCGACGCCGCGACAACCAGCCGCGCAAGGAGAAGCAGGCGTCGAAGACGTCTTCGACGAAGGATGCTGACTTCTCCGGCGGCAACACTCGTGGCGAGGAGGCTTCGTGCTCGATGGTCGGCGTGGTGGAGTCGACGATCTCGCTGGCGCTGGAGGCTGGCGAAGACTTCAAGGCGGTCGCTGCTGCTGTGCAGGCCAATCTGACTGTCGTGCTGCTCGACAGCGGCTGCTCCCACCATTTGATGGGGACAAAGGAGGCCTTCGTCGACATGCAGCCGAGCGGCAACGTTCGCCACGTCCGCGGCTTCAACGGGGCACTTCAGAGCAGGCACCGTTGTTCTGCAAGGGGAGGCCGAGAAGCAGGTCCTCGTCCCCGACGTACTCTACGTTCCGGGTGTTCACGCGAACCTGCTGTCTGCTGGCCAGCTCAAGGAGAACGGCGTGAAGCTAGAGGATGACGGCGGAGAGATGCTGCTGGTGTCTTCCGCCGGCGATGTTCTTGGTCGAGCACGCTACTCCGGCAGAGTTCTCTGCACCGATCTGCGCCCCTGTTCGACGAAGTCGACGACGACTTCGATGGAGGTTGTGGCTCTGCGGACGATTGCGTCGGTGACGAAGTCGACCCCGGACATGTGGCACGCTCGACTTGCGCACGTCGGCGTCGACACGATCAAGAGCTCGGCGAAGCATGAGGTCGCCGCCGGTCTGGACATCAAAAAGTCGACCGCAGATGATCTGTCGTGTGCCTCCTGCGTCGGTGGCAAGATTGCGCGGCACACCTTACCCGACCACGGATCGGACGCAGAGAATGCGCTCGACGTGGTGCACATCGATCGCTGCGGGCCGTTTCGAGTGGCCGCCAACGATGGCAGTCTCTACTTTCTTCTGCTGAAGGACAGGAAGACTCGCTACGTGTGGGTGAGGTCGGTCGCGAAGAAGAGCGACATGCTGGTCGTCTTCGAAAAGTGGCTGAAGGTGGTGGAGAGGCAGACTTCGAAAATGGTGAAGGTGCTGCGTTCAGACCGCGGAGGGGAGTTCCTCTGTCGCGCCTTCACCGACCTCGTCGAAGACAAGGGCATCCTCCACAACCTCACGTGCCCCTACACTCCGCAGCAGAACGGCATGGCGGAGCGGGAGATGCGCACGGTTGTCGAGGCCGTGCGGACGATGCTTCTGCACATGGGCGTGAAGCACCACTGGTGGCATCTTGCTCTGCGACAGGCTGTCTGGGTGCGCAATTGCCTCGAACGGGCTTCTCTGTCTTCGGGGACGACGCCGCACGAGCTGCTGTTCAAGAAGAAGCCGGACTTGACGCTGGCGCGCGTATGGGGCTGCATGGTGCAGTTCATGGTCCCTGAGCAGCTGCGCGGCGGGAAGTTGGCGTCGAAGGCCCGTTGGGGTCTTCACCTCGGAGTGTCGGCAGAGAGCAAGGGCTGGGAGGTGCTCGACTTGGCAGACAATAAGGTCGTCACGACGGTCGAGGCGATCTTCTACGAGACCTTGTCGATGGAGATGTGGAAGGTGGAGTACGGGCTGGCGTCGACGAGGACGCCCTCTACCCCGCCGACCGATTCCTCCTCGGTGCACCCTCCACTGCTCGCCGCGGACGACGAGCTTGATGAGGACGACGCAGACGCTGTCACCCCCTCCCCCCCTCCCCCTATACAGGGATCCTCGGCAGCCGCCGGCGATGAGGGGAGACTCGGTGCGTCGGCTGCGGCGCCGACCGGTTACATCGCCGGTGGCCAACGTGACGCCGAGAAGGTCAGCGACGGGAAGCGGCAGACGACAGGGGAGCCGTCGACGTCGAAGAAGACAGCAAAGACGACGTCTGCAGAGGCGCCGACCGCAGAGAAGCTGTCAGCAGAGGGCCGACCTCGGGGGAGCCATCGGTAGAAGAGCTGCCGGCAGGGGAGCAGCTCGACGACGGCTCGTCGAGCGATGTTGTGGAAGTCGTCGGTGTGGTCGGCGACGATGAAGGGGAGCCGTCGACAGGGGAGCAGTCCGTCGATAGTGACGTGGTGGAGGTCTCGGTGGAAGAAGTGAAGTCGAGGCGTTCTACCCGCTCCAACTTTGGCAAGCCCGCAGAGAAGCTAAGCTACCATGCCTGTCTGCCATCGACCTCCTACAGCACGATGCTCGACGATGCGCAGGCCGACATCGATCTGCCCGAGCTCGACCCCGACATGCACGCTGACCCGGAGCACCGATGGGACATTTCGATGATGACCGTCAAGGAGGCGTTGTCGAGCTGGAAAGGGGCGGCGGTGAAGGCTGCCATGGAGGAGGAGATACGGAGTCTCCTCGAAAACGGCACGTGGGAGCTGGTCGAGCGTCCGCGTGGTGTCAATGTCATGAAGAATCGTTGGGTACTCACGACGAAGTACCACGTCGACGACACGGTCGCCCGCGAGAAGGCGCGTCTGGTGGTGAAGGGCTTCACACAGATCTACAGCGGCGACACCGACATTTCACGGACCGATGGCACTACCTTCGCCGAACCTCGAAGCAGCTCGCCCGAGTCTCCCCGAAGCGTTCGATCCGAGCACAAAGGGATCGGACGTTCAACGATTCGTGGCTGTCGAATAGAAAGGCCCCGCCCTCGCTTGGGCGCAGCCGATCTCGCCGTCGACGAGAAGTTCGCGACGGATTGGTCGACGAAATGGGCTTCTGCAGTTCGACGGAAGTTACGGTCGAGCAGGCTCTGCTCGACAGAATCTGATCGACGAGCTCTGGTCGACGATCTCTGCGTGACGAGCTCCCGTCAAAGAGCGCTGGTCGACGATCCTGGTCGAAGAACTCTAGTCGAAGAGTTCGGGTCGAGGAGCTCTGCTCGGCGAACCCTGCTCGGCCGAGCGATGTCGAGCTGTTCGACCGAACTCGCAGAGGTGTGCGAAACTCTGCGGAGATATGCGAAACTTAGCCCAGGAGGTTTTGGCAAAGTTCGACCTGCGGAACGGCATCACGTGGTCGACCGTGCGCACCTGGCGAAACCGACGACACGTTTTATACCTGGCACCTACGCAATGTTCCTGACGGTGAAACCGTCAACCTGCACCTACTTGGTAGGTGCGCACATCTGCGCAGATAGATAACCTGCGACTGCAGATAGTTACCTGCGACTGCAGGTAGTGACCTGCGACTGCAGTGCTGGCAGACCGCGCGTAGTGCAACGCTGGCAGACTACTCTGCTGCAGCCTTGGCAAGCCGCTCTTCTGCTGCGCTGGCAGATTTCGCCCTTGCTAGGTGTTGCATGCCATTCTAGTCATATCTTTCAGCATGCCTCAATTGTACTATCAACTTTCCAATGCAAATTGTTCTTTCAACTTCCTCAGTGGAAACTCTTGCCAAACTTCTCTATGAACACAAGCAAGAAGTAAGAACGTTAGTGCAAGCTACGATCAGTCGCACAACCCCCTGCCCTCCTACGTAGTCCACTCCCGTTGTGTAGTGACTCACCGCATGATGCGGTGAGCGTGGACGGCCCCGCGTTAGAACCTTCAGATTAGCCGACTTTTGCGTTCATTACCTAAGTCGGTGTAGGCCGGCAGCCGTCTTAGTCGCCATGGTCGACCCTGTAGTCGAACCAGGCGTAGAAGATACCCTGCAGGCGAGAGAGGCTGTTCGCGCACGCCACGAGGCTGGCGGGTACGGCGAGGCGGACCTGGAGATTCTGCTCCTTAGAACTCGTGCGCTGTGGGCGCGTGAGCATCCCCCTCCCCGTGCAGAAGCGGACCGTGCGTCCGCCTCTCCCCGAACCGTGCACAACGAAGGTGATGGCGGCAATGTTGTCGGCGGTGGAAGCACGAGGGTTCGCGGAGTGATTCGGCCCGCCGACGTCAGCGTTGGTGGAGTGCAGGCGCAAGTGCTACGATCGTCTGCGACTGGAGGCAGCTCGAACGGCAACGTCGATGGTCGACGTCAATCTCCTCTGTGGAGTGGAGTCAGGCCGACTTCGGCGACTCATGCGTCGGCTGGTCGAGACGGAGGCATCGCGCCAGCGTATGGTTTTTTTTAAATTTCGCCGGACAAGATCGCTGTGCCGAAGCTGCTCGAAGGTCGACACGACTTGATCACATGGATCGAATCCATCGAGCCTCAGCTGGAGATCGCCGGACTGAAGAAGTTCGTCGACGGAAATGTTCTGGCGCTGGACGAGGATGTCGAGCTCTGGTCGGAATTTTGCGCTACTCACCTTCTGACCTTTATGGTCAGTTCGAGGTGCTGCTGACCTCTGGTGCAAGTCGTGAAGTCGTGCAGACTTCGAGTGGATGCTGGCTACCAAGCGTGGCAGTACATCATGCGCACCTACAAAGCGACCGACGACCTCTACATCAGTCAACTGGAGAAGAAGTTGACCAACATTCGTATGGGGGAGCAGGAATCGGCGACCGAGTACTGCAATCGAGCACGGCGAGTTTTGGCCAATCTGCGGATGGCCGGCGTCGACTACTCGGTGGCGTCGTATGTCACTCATGTCATCAGTGGCCTCCCCTCGGGCTACAATCTAATGCGCCGGATGCTGACAATTCCCGGCACGCGCGAGATTCTGAACGAGGACTCGTTTTCGACCCACATCATCCAGGACGAGTTCATGCAGGAGTTTGAGCGACCTGCAGAACTGCTTCCGCATGCCAACTACGTCGCCCCGGCGAAGCAGGGACGCCAACAGGGGCAGCGTGGGCAGTCTGACGGAGGCGGTGGCTGGAAGTCGTCGAACGCAAAATCGACGGGAGCGGAGGGCGCCGACCGCGGAAAGTCGGCGAAAGGAGGTGATCGCGGAGGCGGTGGCTCGCGTCGAGAAGGACGCCGTTGCTACATCTGCGATGCTCCCGACCACCTCTCGTACGACTGCCCAGGCTGAGAAGAGTCTGACGACGACCGGGACGCCAACCGCAGAAGGTCAGATGGTGGCCGTCGTCGTCGAGACAACCAGCCGCGCAACGAGAAGCAGGCGTCGAAGACGTCTTGACGAAGGATGCTGACTCCTCTGGCGGCAATGCTCTTGGCGAGGAGGCTTCGTGCTCGATGGTCGGCGTGGTGGAGCCGACGATCTCGCTGGCGCTGGAGGCTGGCGAAGACTTCAAGGCGGTCGCTGCTGCTGTGCATGCCAATCTGACTGTCGTGCTGCTTGACAGCGGCTGCTCCCATCATCTGATGGGTATACAGGAGGCCTTCGTCGACATGCAGCCGAGCGGCGACGTGTGCCATGTCCGCGGCTTCAACGGGGCAATTCAGAGCGTCGAAGGCAGAGGCACCGTTCTTCTGCAAGGGGAGGCCGGGAAGCAGTTCCTCGTCCCCGACGTACTCTACATTCCGGGTGTTCACGCAAACCTGCTGTCTGCTGGCCAGCTCAAGGAGAACGGCGTGAAGCTACAGGACGACGGCGGAGAGATGCTGCTGGTGTCTTCTGCCGGCAATGTCCTTGGTCGAGCACGCTACTCCGGCAGAGTACTCTGCACCGACCTGCACCCCTGCTCGACGAAGTCGACGACGACTTCGACGGAGGTTGTGGCTCTGCGGACGATCGCGTCTGCGACGAAGTCGACCCCGGACATGTGGCACGCTCGACTTGCGCACGTCGGCGTCGACACGATCAAGAGCTCGGCGAAGCATGAGGTCGCTGCCGGTCTGGACATCAAGAAGTCAACCGCAGATGATCTGCCGTGTGCCTCCTGCGTTGGCGGCAAGATTGCGCGGCACACCTTCCCCGACTAAGGATCGGACGCAGAGAATGCGCTCGACGTGGTGCACATCGATCTCTGCGGACCGTTTCGAGTGGCCGCCCACGATGGAAGTCTCTACTTTCTTCTGCTGAAGGGTAGGAAGGCTCGTTACGTGTGGGTGAGGCCGATCGCGAAGAAGAGCGACGTGCTGATCGTCTTCGAAATGTGGCTGAAGGTGGTGGAGCGGCAGACTTCGAAGACGGTGAAGATGCTGTGTTCTGACCGCGGAGGGGAGTTCCTCGGTCGCGCCTTCACTGACCTCGTCGAAGACAAGGGCATCCTCCACAATCTGACGTGCCCCTACACTCCGCAGCAGAACGGCATGGCAGAGCGGGAGATGCGCACGGTCGTCGAGGCCGTGCGGACGATGCTTCTGCACATGGGCGTGAAGGATCACTAGTGGCACCTTGCTCTGCGACAGGCTGTCTGGGTGCGCAATTGCCTCGAACAGGCTTCTCTGCCTTCGGGGACGACGCCGCACAAGCTGCTGTTCGAGACGAAGCCAGATTTGACGCCGGCGTGCGTGTGGGGCTGCATGGTGCAGTCCATGGTCCCCGAGCAGCGGCGCGGCGGGAAGTTGGCGCCGAAGGCTCGTTGGGGTCTTCACCTCGGAGTGTCGGCTGAGAGCAAGGGCTGGGCGGTGCTCGACTTGACGGACAATAAGGTCGTCACTACGGTCGAAGCGATCTTCTACGAGACCCTGTCGATCGAGATGTGGAAGGTGGAGTAAGGGCCGGCGTCGACGAGGACGCCCTCTACCCCGCCGACCGATTCCTCCTCGGTGCACCCTCCACTGCTCGCCGTGGACGACGAGCTTGATGAGGACGACGTCACCCCCTCCCCCCCTCGTCGGGGGGGATCCTCGTCGGCCGTCGGCGATGAGTGGAGACTCGGTGCGTCGCCTGCGCCGCCGACCGGTTGCATCGCCGGTGGCCAACGTGACGTCGAGAAGGTCAGCGACAGGAAGCGGCAGACGACAGGGGAGCCGTCGACGTCGAAGAAGACTGCAGAGAAGCCGTCGGCAGAAACGCCGACTGCAGAGAAGCCGTCAGCAGAGGCGCCAGCTTCAGGGGAGCCGTTGGAAGAGAAGCCGATCCTGGGGGAGCAGTCGGTAGAGGAGCTGCCGACAGGGGAGCAGTAGGATGACGACTTGTCGAGCGACGTTGTGGAAGTCGTCGGGGCGGCCGGCGGCGACGACGACTTAGCTGAGCTACTACGCTCGTCTGCCGCCGACGGCCTACAGCACTCTGCTCGACGACGCAGAGGCCGACATCGATCTGCCCGAGCTCGACCCCGACATGCACGCCGACCCAGAGCATCGCTGGGACATCGCCAACGTGACGGTGAAGGAGGCGTTGGCGATCTGGAAGGGCAAGGCGGTGAAGGCCGCCATGGACGAGGAGATCAGGAGTCTCATCTCTAACGGGACGTGGGAGCTGGTCGAGCGTCCGCGCGTAGTCAACATCATGAAGAACCGCTGGGTGCTAATGACGAAGTACCACGTCGACGACACGGTCGCCCGCGAGAAGTCTCGTTTGGTCGTGAAGGGCTTCACGCAGATCTACGGCGCAGACTACGATGAGACGTACGCGCCGGTGGGGAGCTACGTAACTCTGCGGATCTTCCTCAGCATCGTAGCGGTCCTCGACCTGCATCTGATGCAGCTCGACATGAAGAACGCGTTTCTGCAGAGCAAGCTGGATCGTGTACTCTACATGTACCAACCTGACTACTACAACGACGGAAGTGGCCACGTCTGCAAGCTGCTGAAGAGCTTGTACGGCCTGAAGCAGAGTCCGCTGCTGTGGTACAAGGCGCTCGACGACGTGCTGACTGGCGTGGACTGGAAGAAAATCCAGGTCGATGAAGCGCTGTACTTCAAGGTCGGCGACCACGAAGTGGCGTGCTGGGTGCTCGTCTACGTCGACGACCTGCTCGCTGCAAGCAGCAGCACTGCGATGCTGAAGGAGCTGAAGGATCTGCTGGAGGCCGCCTTTGAGCTGCACGAAATCAGCCCGGTCGAGAAGTATCTCGGGCTGGAAATCGTGCGCGACCGTCCTGCGCGGAAGTTGTGGCTTCACCAGCAAGCCTACGTCGACAAGCTGCGTCGGCGTTTCATCGACGAGGAGCAGACCGGGCGAGTGCCGAAGACGCCGGTCTCCGTCGACGCCTACGCAGAGCTGGTGTTCGACGACGAGGAGCTCCAGTCGTGCGAGGAAGCAGAGTACTGGCAGAAGGTCGGCTCGCTGCAGTTCGCGACCACCACGACGAGACCCGAGATTGCTTTCGCTTGCAGCAAGCTCGGATCCGGCCTGACTGTGCGGAGCGACAACCACTTGCGTGAGGTCGATCGCTGTCTGCACTACCTCGCTGAAACCCGTGACACCGCTCTGGAGTTCGGCGGCGGACCAGAGTCGCTGTGTCGGGTCGGTTATGCAGATGCCGACGACGCTGGTGACAAGCAGAATCGGACGAGCACGGGCGGCTACGTTTTCGTCTTCGGAGGAGCCGCAGTCTCCTGGTCGAGCCAGCGCATCAAATGCGCGATGCTCTCGTCGACCGAATCAGAGTACGTCGCGGCCACGGAAGCTGGCAAGGAGGCTCGCCGTCTGCACTTCCTCCTTGCAGAATTCCGCCTGCTCGACGCACGGAATCCGACTGTTCTGCACGTGGACAACCATTTGGCAATCACTGTCGCAGAAGGCTTGGGGCTCAAGGGCAACCTCAAACACATGGAGCGACGCCACGCCTGGCTGCAGCATATGGTGAACCGCGGGAAGACTTCTCTGCAGTACATCCCGACCACCGAACAGCCGGCGGACTTTCTGACGAAGGCGCTGCATTTTCCAGCTTTCAACCGGTGCTCCGTCGCAATCGGCCAAGTGCGTCTGGCCGACGTGGGCGACTGGGAGGACGAGGTGCAGCAGTAGGTGCCGTGCCCTTCTACACGGCTGTTGCGGTGATCTGCGTGCTATGTGATGGGTGCACGCAGACGGGACTTTTTTCTCCTTGTATTCTATCCGTCTGGGTTCTGGGTGGACCTTGTGTGTGGGTGCCCAAGCGTGAGCTGGGCAGGGGAGTGTCGAAGAGAAAGGCCCCGCCCTCGCTTGGGCGCAGCCGATCTCGCCGTCGACGAGAAGTTCGCGACGGATTGGTCGACGAGAATCTGATCGACGAGCTCTACGCGATGAGCTCTGGTCGACGATCTCTGCGTGACGAGCTCCCGTCGAAGAGCGCTGGTCGACGATCCTGGTCGAAGAACTATGGTCGAAGAGTTTGGGTCGAGGAGCTCTGCTCGACGAACGCTGTTCGACCGAACTCGCAGAGGTGTGCGAAACTCTGCGGAGGTGTGCGAAACTTCGCCCAGGAGGTTTTGGCGAAGTTCGACCTGCGGAACGGCATCACGTGGTCGACGGTGCGCACCTGGCGAAACCGACGACACGTTTTCTACCTGGCACCTGCGCAATGTTCCTGATGGGGAAACCGCCAACCTGCACCTACTTGGTGTTGGGTGCACATTCACATTGCACGACATCCTGCCGTCTGTTTGTACGAGTATGCGTGTGCGAATGCATTTGGGTGTGAATGGAATGTTCGTGTGTTTGTTTGGTTAACTATAGTGTAGCAGGGCAGGCAATATAGGGGTACAATTTATGTCAAGGTTGGATGTTGTTTGTCTGTGTCTGCATGCTACAGGGCCAGGGGAAACCAGCGGAACCAGCATTTGGCTGGTTGGGCAAAGACAAAACAAACCAGTGTTTTTAGGACCTGAACCTGGTTGTTGTTTTCCCAGGTTGGAAAAACAGAACCAGAGGTTGTTTACCAACCTACCACCTGCTGTTTTGTCCAGCCAGGTTGGTTCTGTTGGTTGGAATTACTTGGGATCATCCCTGGTTGTTCCCAGGTTGATTCCCAAGGTCCTTGCTAGCTAGAACTATTTATTCCTTCTCTGTTTGTACCTGGATATAGTCAAATTGATTCAAGCGAATTCCTTCCTTGCTGGAATTTCGTTTCTACGCGGGGCGACGGCGGAATGCTACCCGAGTCAATGCTAGTACGCTAGCACTACGACGCTAGGCCAACGCTGTGCGAGCCATAACTTCGTAATGGCAAAACTTTTCGCGAGGCAACTTGGCTCATTTTAAAACTCTTGGAGCGAGCTTCGATATAGGAATTTTTTAGCTTAACCAGATCGACGGTCTGCACGATACGCTGCGCGACATTCAAACTACTCTCGCTGTTTTGACTAAGTCCCTCTTGATCCCTCTCTTTACAAACTCGGAGCCGAGGATAGGGGCTGGTCTTGTACCAGGCACACAAGGACCCTTGGAGGTGACCCCGAGGAGAGGTTTTAAGTTTGATTTAGTCATATTAGCCTGAGTTTATTAGGCCCTTACACCAACACTTGGTAGGTGCGCACATCTGCGCAGATAGACAACCTGCGACTGCAGATAGTTACCTGCGACTGCAGATAGTGACCTGCGACTGCAGTGCTGGCAGACCGCGCGCAGTGCAACGCTGGCAGACTACTCTGCTGCAGTGTTGGCAAGCCGCTCTTCTGCTGCGCTGGCAGATTTCGCCCTTGCTAGGTGTTGCATGCTATTCTAGTCATATCTTTCTGCATGCCTCAATTGTACTATCAACTTTTCAATGCAAATTGTTCTTTCAACTTCCTTAGTGGAAACTCTTGCCAAACTTCTCTGTGAACACATGCAAGAAGTAAGAACGTTAATGCAAGCTACGATCAGTCGCACAACCTCGTGCCCTCCAACGTAGTCCTCTCCCGTTGTGTAGTGACTCTCCGCAGTGGCGACCCTCGAAATTTATTTTGAGGCCATTGGCTGTTCGACCCCGACACACGATGCAGCACAGATTCGGCTCGCAGAAACACTGTTGCGAGGCCCCGCATTAGAGTGGACCTAGTACAGTGACGCAGCCCGAGGGGAGAAAACGTGGGCGCAGTTTCGGGCAGACCTTATCGAAAGATTCGAGCCTATAAATTCGGTGTACATGGCGCGGCAGCAGATTCATCAACACAAGCAACTCGGGAGTGTAGCACTGTACATGCAGCAGATGGAGCAGTTATTCAATCGCATCACCGACCTGACCGAAGGCGAAAAAATCCAAGCGTACACCGAGGGGTTGAAAATGGAGATTTGCCGACAGGTCATCGCCGCGAACTACAGTAGCTACCGCGACATGGTACGTGCCGAACCGATCATTTGACATGGAGCGATGGGTACCCGCCACGTTCACCGAACCGATGAATGTCGACAGATTTGACGCGAAGCAGCAGCCGACAAAATGCGAATTCTGCGGCGCAGCCGGACATCAAATCCTGTCGTGCTACAAAATGAAGAAAGCACGTGCGGCATTGCTGGGCGGCAACAGTACAGCACC